AAGAGAAGAGAAGAGAAGAGAAGAGAAGAGAAGAGAAGAGAAGAGAAAAGAAAAGAAAGATAGCTCTTAAACTAACCTCCAAAGATGAATAGACATTTCCCAAGTTGGGAGACAAGAGAAGAGAGGTCTTCTGGGTAGAGGAAGCCATGTAAGCAAAGACTTGGAATGTTTGCAGTTGGGGAGCTGAAAACAAAGCCCACCGCCCTTATTCCTTACAAATATTCTGGGCAGCATGGTATAGTACTTAAGGGTGTGGACTCTGAGGCCTGGGTCAAATGTCAACCTCACTATCACTTACCAGACTCAAGATTTGGGCAAGCCACTTTACTCTTTGGACCTTAAACTAAATTTCAGATAATAATTATACCTGTATATAGGTTTAGCGTAAAATTCAGTAAACCAATGAGTTTAGAACCATATCCAGTACTGTATATATGTTAGCTATTATTTACACATGTACTTTTCCCATTTTGCCCATTTGGGGATATTTATATAAATTCAATCATACTATTTGTGTTGTATGAGATTTCTTTTACTTTGTATAACATTCATGAAATTCATATATATATATATATATGAATTATATATGAATTATATTCATATATATATATATATATGCATTATCTGTATTCCATTGACTTTCCTCCTTACCTAACCATCAAACATGTACAGCTTCTCTCCCAAGTGACTGTAAAATCTGGAGACAAAGGCTGTGTTTTCTGTATTTCTGTATTTCTGTATTTCTGCATTCAAGAGAGTCTTCCTAGCATCTGTCCCGATCTTGTTAGCTATTTTTAAGGCCTCTCAATTGGAGGAAAGATGATTTAGATATAAAATATCACCCATGGGCTCACATGTTTGAGTGCTTGGTCCCCAGCTGGTAGTACTGTTTTGGGGGGATTGTGAGGCCTTTAGGAAGTGTGTCTTCAGCAGAAGTGGATCAGTGAGACAGCACTGTGAGATATACACCAGCTGTTCCCTCTGCTTCCTCACAGCCGATACAACACCCTCTCACTGCTGATACAATGTAATCAGCTGCATCATACTCTGCTGTCGCAAATGTAAGCCATTCCCACCATCATGGCTTCTGTCCTCCTCTGTGATGAACTGCATCCCCTTGAAATGTGAGAGCTAAAATGGAAATTTCCTCCTTCACAATGTTTCTGTTACTGTCTCCGTTTGGTATAACATTCTATTATGGCAGCAGGAAAAGTAACTGATTCAAGTACTGAGGGTTACTGAGAGTTTATATAGGACATGTGTCTTAGTCACTGTTCTATTGCTGTGAAGAGACACCATGCCTACAGCAACTCTTATAAAAGAAAGCATTTCCTTGAGGCTGGCTTAAAGTCTCAGGGGTTTACTCCATTATTACCATGGCAGGAAGCATGGGGGCATGCAGGCAGAAACGGTGCTGGAGAGGTAGCTGGGAGTTCTGTATCAACATCTACAGGCAGCAGGAAGAGAGAGACACTGGGCCTGGCCTAGCCTTTTGAAACTTCAAAGCCCATCCCCACCCTCTAATCCTTTCAAATAGTGCTACACCCTGAGCATTCAAATATCTGAGCTTAGGGGGCCATTCTTACCAAAACCACCACAGCATAGTGAAGGTGAATTCTCCATCCCCCTAGGGACTGAGAGTGCTCTAAGATGTCCCATGGGGCTTTTAGGTAGGATGATTAGAACAGAAACTTACTGTGCACTGTTGTCTTAGGGTTTTATTTCTCAGAAGAGACTCCATGATCACAGCAATATTTCTAAAAGAAAACTTTTAACTGGGACTGGCTTACAGTTCAGAAATTTAGTCTATTATCATCATGGCAGGAAACATGGTGGCATGCAAGCAGATGTGGTGCTGGAGAGGTAGCTGAGAGCTTTACATCTGGATTGGTAAGCAGCAGAAAGAGACTGAGACATACCAGGCCTGCCTTGAGCTTCTAAGACCTCAAAGCCCACCCCAGTGACACACTTCATCCCACAAATTCACACCTACTCCATTAAGGCCACACCTCCTAATAACGCTCCTCCCTATGGGCCTATTGGGGCCATTTTTATTCAAACCACTACAACTTCTGTGGTCCTGATTTAGTTAAATTATTCTACTTAATCCTCAAAACAAGCCAAACAAGTGAGCACAGTTGTTTGCTGGGCCTGTCATAACAGAATACCATGAACTAGGTGGGTTATAGCAGTGATGCTCACTACTGCATAGTTCTAGAGCCTGGAAGCCAGAGGTAAAGTGTCATCAGAGATGGCTCCTTCTAAGGGATGAGAAAGCCCACCCATGCCTCTTCCCTAACTTCTCCTGCCTTAATGGCAGTCTATGGTATTGTTCATAGATCTCTACCTTTGTCCTCAAGTGGTATTCTCTTCTTCCCATGTCTCTCTTTAAATGTCCTCTTGTTATAAGAGACCTGTTCATATCGGATCAAGGACCCCTGTTCCATGATGATAAGGAGCTCAGAATTCCACACTGTGTTGTGATGTGCGCTCATCTTCACCCGTTATATTCCTCAGAAGCCCTGTTTCCAAGAAAGGTCACAGGAAGACTCCAGTACCTGGTTCTGCAAGGACACAGTTATTCAGAGGTAGGGAAACAGACCTGGAAAGGTTATGTTGACACAGATGGTTGTGACCAAACACTTGGCAAAAAGCAATGGAAGGAAGAAAGGAAGAAAGGAAGGAAAGAGGG